GGTAAAATTATTCGGTATGAATAATTTTACCCGAAGGCATCTTAGCTGTCATATAATAATATAACGTTTTCATCTGATTCGATGAAGAAATAATGAACTGAATTTTGTCAGACAACAAAAGTGAACTATACTTCATTGATCAATATCAATGTCTCCTTAGATGTATATATTTTTAATAATGCAAAGAATGCATTTTTATTTTGTTCATTTTCATTCGTCTATACAATGATAATAATACCAAAATTCAGTATCTATTCTAGTAACAACTTTAATCCTGTTCCAATGGGACATTATTTTTAGATGTCTCTAAATAGACAACAAGAAAATAACACTTTTATTATTTTTTTTCTTTATTATATAATGATATTACTAGACAAAGTAAGTCTAGTTTGACAATGACTAGGTACAACTAATGATAGTATTAATTACTAATCAAACATTCTTGTCTTTTCATATCTATTACTATCATAACTAGATAGTATTTGTTTAATTCAAACTTCAATTCAAAGATCATAACCACTTATGCTACTTACATGAATAGTATATCATATAAGATGCTCTTTTCTATATTATACAGAGGCCCTTTAGTATAACCCAGGAAACACCACGAGGAAGCGGGCTTGATTTGGTTCCCAAAAAGAAAAAAAAATGAATTCTATATACCTTTTTGTTGTTGTCTTCTAAATAACATAGTTTATTTTCAAATGAATTATATATATACAGACACATACACACATAATACGAAAATAAAAAGAGAAAAACGATACCCAAATCTATATACAAGATATATCAAGATTCCCAATCATATGACTCATAAGGATCACATAGAAATGGCGATATTGCTGTTGAAGTTGTTCTTAGTTCATGTGAACTATAGAGTTCATTAGCATCATCATCATAATCCTCCTCAGTACTGCTGATGTTAAATGGATTAAATGATATTGATGGAGAGGATTCAGCGATATTAATATCGTCACTATCAAGTTTTGATGAATGACTTTCTTCATTATCACTAGAAATAATGAAAGAAGATATATGATAATAATTCAAATGAATTGCTTAAGAACTTACTTTTTATCATCTGAAGGAATAGATATTTCTTCTAGATGTAAGTTGCCATATGGCGATGTAGCATCATCATCATCATCTATAAGCATGTGGCCTATACAGGTTTTATTTTCACAATCTATGCAGCCACATTCTCGATAACCAGGTAGAGGCAGATTAGGATCACTTCTTGGTCAGAGAAAACAATCCATATTTACCATTCTTCGTGAGAATGGTAAAATAAACTATTTTAAAAATAATCATATTGTAAGTTAATAGATAATATTAATATCAGTTGTTTTTACTTGCTTAGCCTTTTTCATTCAATTCTAATAAAGCTATCAATTTCCATTGATAGCTATCATTTTTCTATAAGAAATAAAATCAAAATGTCATATGAAAATATTCTCTAATGACTATAGTATCTTCTTACCGGACCTCCAATTGGAATTGGTCGAATTGTAGAAGGCATATTGACTACCAAAAATAATAATGATATTAAACTATATATATATATATCTAGAATATATAAAAATAGATTAAATAAATAGTATCATATATAGAAAATAATCGAGAACATATCATGGTGATAACCAATATGTCTTCATTGAACGTCATAGTTATATTAAAAAAAACATATGAAATATAGATATTTTCGTCTGTATTTTAACAAAAACTGTTCATATCTTTTATTCACAATGAATTATCATAGATAGGAAAATCAATACAGGAAATTTTATAATTTCATATATAAAAAAAACGATAACAACAAAAAATTTATATGTTCATATTTACAAATGTTCGTATATGTGAATATTTGTTCACTTGATTTCAACGTGCTCTCTCAGTTCGCTTTTTGATTATCACGAAGATTGTATAATTAAATGGAGTAATTGCTCCATTTTCTTGGTAAGAATACGTAATTTATGAATGTTCTCTTTTAAATATTCAATTTCATCACTCTGCCATCGGCAGAGATCACGCAAAAATGCAATTTCATCATCGAGAGCACGACGTTCCTTCAATTCACCTTTATCTAAATTGAGCACGTAATGTGTTAATCTGTCTATAAAACGATTATCAACATCATGACGACCAGGATCCATCAATATTGGTTTCATATCTTCATCAGTATCACATTCTATCAAATAACAAAATTAAATTTTTAATGATACTAGCATGAAACCACTATTGCTAGATGTGACATTAATCTGTTACCTGTATTATTAACATTTGTAGACCACTGATTTCGAGCAGCCATGATAATGCAACTTAATAAAGTTATCGTAGTTATACAGATCTAGAAAACTAAAAAAATCATAAGAAATTTTTCTCTCTCTCTCTCTCTAGAACTGTATCTAAGCATCAAATATAAATATAAAGTGTTCATCATCGATATTTATTAGAATGGCACACCATACAAGAATCGAAAGTAAATGTAAGCTTATTGTTGTATTGGTACTCAAGATCCTCTACCTGATCTCATTCAACGTACCAATAAATATTTATTAGATTTACGTCTAGCTAAATGGATAACACAAAAACATTATGAACAGTTATGTATTAAAAAAGATGAAGTTGAATTAGCCCATCTTTATTATTTACCAAAAACTCATAAAGCTGGTACTCCTCTTTGACCAATTATATCAGGTTTAAAACACCCGACAATAAAGATCTCCAAGTTTCTTGACGATATACTTCGATTATTATTTGATAGAATGGCCATAAATACAACTGTTATGTCTGGCTTTGAATTACTTAAGAAACTTCAACAATGGTCAAAAGTCAATATGAAACAAGAGATATTATTATGCACAATAGATATTGCTGATCTTTATAGAATGATTCCACAAGTCGAAGGAGTATTAGCGTTAAAAAAGATGTTAGATCATCTAAATTTAAAACAAATCAATGGTCTAAAAACCGAAGTTATTATACGTTTAGCTAGATTTGTAATGCAAAATAATTATTTTATATATGAAGGCCAATATTACCATCAAATTCGAGGTGGAGCCATGGGTTCTCGACTAACACTGACCATTGCTAACTGTTATATGTTTTTTTATGAGCAAAATATTGTTAAACAAATTAATAATAGTGGTGGTTTATATTTACGTTATATTGATGATTTATTTATTATTATGATTAATTGGCCTATTCGACATTTTATAAAACAAGTTGATCGCTGGAAAAAATTTGATGAAAATATTAAGTTATCAGCTAACATTAGTTTACGAGCTGACTTTTTAGATTTACATATGGAAAATCAAGATGGACAACTAGTTACAACGGTTTATCACAAGCCATCCTATGAACCATATTATTTGCCATTCAATAGCATTCATTCTATACATATGAAAAAGAACATACCATTTACAATGCTACTCCATGCAATTAGATATTGTTCAACATTTCAAGCTTATTTGGATGAACGTGAGAAATTACGAATGGATCTATTATTAAATAAATATCCTATCAAATTTATCGATCAACAATTTAATCATGTATTACAAAAATTTAGTATTGGTCAACCATTAACTAGAAATAATTATAATAAATTACGTCAAGAAATTATAAATGCTCCATTT